TACCTACGGTTACCGTACTTGGACCGGTAACCGTACCTACGGTTACCGTACTTGGACCGGTAACCGTACCTACGGTTAACCGGTGAATGATCGTCACCGTTGCATCCCTAGTAACACGAGTCCATAGTAGACTTGAAATAGCTAGAAAGATCCGATACGTAGTTATGACATAGCCTGAGAGTGCAAGGAGTGTGCGGGAGTACGACATTTTCGTTTTTTCCCCCTTGGTACCCCTAGAGTATAGCCCTTGAGAACGTGTAGGTATCCCCAGTATATGGCAATTGAGGATCTAATAGTAACCCAGACTATAACCCTTGAGGGCCTAACGGTATCCATAGAATACAGCATTGGAGAACCTAAGGGTGCTACAGAATATAGCCCTTGAGAACCTAAAGGACCCAAATATATAGTACTTGAGCATCTAAAGGTACCCCTAGAATATAGCCCTTGAGGAGCTGAGGGTATCCCCAGCATACGGTACTTGAGGACCGACGGTTCCCCAGAATATAGCCCTTTATGACCAAAAGGTACCTCTAGAGTATAGCATTTGAGGACCTAAGCGTGCCCTAGAATATAGCCCTTGATGACCTAAGGGTATCCCCAGAATATAGCATTTGAGGAACTAAGAGTGCCCTAGAATAGAGTCCTCGAGAACCTAAGGATACCCCAGAATATTGTCCTTGACGACCTAAGGGTATCTCCAGAATATAGAGTTTGGGGACCTAAAGGTATCCTAGAATATAGCCATTGAGAACCTAAGGGTATTCCGAGAATATGGCACTTGAGGATCTAAATGACAAGGGAATGCTAATGGATCACTGGTGGAGTACTAATGGAGTAGGACTGAGTACAGGTGGAGTATGAGTGGAGTAGGGTAAACTACGGGTGGAGTAGAATGGAGTACGAGTGGAGTACCGATGGAGTAGTGTGGAGTATCGGTGGAGTACCGATGGAGTAGTGTGGAGTATCGGTGGAGTAGAGTGGAGTACGAGTGGAGTACGAGTGGAGTAGAGTGGAGTACGAGTGGAGTATCGGTGGAGTATCGTTGGAGTATGCACTCCTGGAGTACCGCCTTTTCCCCCTTGGTCACTATTCATTTGAGTTTAACCGGAATCATTAGGTTTTTTGCTTAGCCATCTCAAATTCGATTTATAGAAAGCATGAACAGGAAAATAATCAAATTAATAATATTCGGTTTAAATCAATGAACAAAATTTTCACGCAAAATTTCCATCGAAGTTTCCCATTGAGGTGAGAATATCGAGTGTGAAGTGGATTATTTGAGTTGAGAGTGTACATTCATTTACTTTCACTTTCACATCTTGTATTCTCTCAAATCTGAGTCTGATATCAATCATAAACATATTTTTTGTATGCCCAGACTTATAAACAAGCGATTATTGACCATTTATCTTATTCGTTATTCAAAATTATGCTGTAAACAATTGAAATTTGAATAATCTACGTAAGACAACTTAGAAGTTTCTATTATGAGTAAATGTATGAAAAAAAAAGTGATACATAAATGTCATGTACATTTTAGTTTAGCGTGACTGATCTTTTTAACCATCGTTTTTCTATGACAACTATAAAATATTAGAAAAGCTATTACAAGTTTAAATAACTTCACAATGAACGATATCAAATATAATTCTGTGACATCTGCACAGAGTACTGTTTTTAAGTTTATATTGGTTAATCGTGTAATGAAAGTTTTTTTTTTCGTGTAATGAAGACACCTACTACTTAAAAATGTGAAATATCGGGTAACTCTATTTGATAATTTTGTGACTGCGCAGAAGCTTTGCTTAAGCGTCTGTTCATAGTGTCTTTTGTTTCGGCTGAAGATTTCCTTCGATATATCAATTGAAGTACATAGTTTTTTATATTATGTCGTTCTCCCCATGCAAATAATAATAATGATAAAATACTCATCACTCCAAAAACCAAAAATAATCCACTTGTTGCTTCAATTCCGATCTCTGTCGATATTTCAGATGAGTCAGGACAGGTCTTTAATTCAAACCATTTTTTTCTTAATATCTCCAGATCACCTCCTTCTCTTAATGCTAGAATATTCACATCTAAATCTTGTGCATATAACCAGTTATAAGGAGTAACAATACCATATACACTTTTATCAAAATCATTTCCAATTAAAGTTAAATTACAATATACATTATTTGTAGCATATTCAATAGTACCTGTATCCCAAAAAACTGCATCAATAATATTTGCAAGTAGACTAGAATATAATTCGTCTAGAGATCCTGCTGAATAATAATTTCGAACACCATTAGATATTTCTCTCAAATAATACTCTTCAAGAGATGAACCTGGATAAATACCAATACGCTTATATGGTATTTTTCCATTTTTAATATCATCAATTCCAGAAATAATAGCTTTTGATTTTGCTATTGTCAGATCAGATGCTAAGTTTGCAGTATATGATGCTACTAATATCAAACTTAAGATATATAAACTACCAGTTAATAAACGTCCAGCAGCTGTAGTGATAGAAAACTCTACACCATATCCAACAACATTGCCAAAAGCATACCATACACTCCTTGCAATTTGAGACAATATTGGTTGATTTTGTAATACCTCATTATGTTGTCTCTCTATTATATACATCAAAATACCAGCATAGATTAAGGTACCTGCGAATAGAAACCAGAGACTACGTGAAAATGGTTTTAAGAATGAGAACAGATCAATAGGTACAGCGACTTCTTTTCGCATTAAAATACTCATAGAATTATCAAATATAGCATTGGAAAAGCTGACTATTCCTCTTCGTTTAGCGGTAACAGTCACATCACCTATCAACATATCATAAACACCATCATGTACTGATTGAATTAGTTCATAATATGTTTTATTTGTTGGTGCTAATTCAATAGTTGGAATAAATCTCATTTTACTATGTAAAAGTTTAATAAGATCGGGCAAATAGCCAGTGTATTGTATCGTAGTTTGTCCAGATACATCTTTAATCTCGTTAACCATTAGAAATGGAACTGCTCCAACAAGACATATTCGTAAATTTACACCTTCGAGAATTGCTTTATCAGTAGGTGGTATTAATGAATTACCAGGCCATAGTATAACATTTTCTTTTATAGGTAATTTCCAATCATTAGGATGAAAATATTCTAATACAGGCACAAAACTCAAACCATTCGATAAAAGTTGAACATTTTTTGCAGAACAATACAAACCAGTTATTCTGTCTGTTACATTATCACTAAATCGTATACGACCAGACACACCAAGAAATTCTGTTCTACCAACTGCATCTAACAATAACTTAGAATGAATGAAATGACGATTAAAACAGTATGAAGATCCAATAAATGACAAATATGAAGAAGAAATATTTATTTTTGATGCACACAATTTTTGTAATGATTGAATTAATGTCCATGTTGCATCAAATGCAAATAATGCATAATTATTTACATTCATGGATCGAGGAAATGATTCAGGCTCATATTGTTGCCAAATACTATATGCTGCATCTAATAATGTTGTATTAATTGGTTCATTGAAAAATGACCCTACAACTGGTTCAATCAGAAACATTCCAGTTAAGTTTTTATAAAATGTTTGATTGAAAGAATTTAATAAAATATTGCTACTTAGTATCCATGTAAAAAATGGACCAACTATATTAGAGTCAAGAGCCTTTTGTAAAAGCAAAGATGTATAAAGTGAATCAGCCCATACAACAACCATTCGTGTTGGAGCATTAATTAAAAGGCTTTTCAAATCACCACGAGTACTAAGTGTAGCAGTATCAAATACAATCATTTGGCTGACTGTTAAGCGACTATTATTAAATGCTTCACTTATAGCATTAGCTCCGCCAGCTCCAAATGCATCATTTTGATAAATTATTGTACATGTTGTCCATTTATATCGAATGAATAATTTTGCAAGGGCTGCTGCAACTACAAAGTCCGAAGCAACTGTACGATAAAAATTAGGATAAGCATTTCGATTAGATAAATCAGGGTCAGTTGCAGAATGTGATATAACAGGTATACCAATTACTTTACTAAAAGGAGCAATTACATGAGCTTCTCTTGAATAGCTTGGGCCAACAATACCAACAACATTCGAGACAGATACTGCATGACATGTAAGATTCAGACCACTCATTATGTCACTAGTAGTTTGTTCTACTTGCCATCCTATGAATTCTCCTTCGATTTTTATATTATATTGATGAGAAAGCAATATTGCCGCCTTAAACATATTCTGAGGATGGATAGAGAAACTGATGTCAGAATTGTTTGATGGTTGTGGAAAAAGTCCTAGCAGGCGAATGTTAGAAGAGTTTGATGACGGCCAACTTGTTGTTACATATTCTATGTTAAATTGTTCAATTATAAAATATAATAAGAAACATCGAAAGTTACGATACAATAACATCATTATTTAATTGTCTAATAAATAAGATGATTGGATAAAGTATCTGAAAAAAAAACGAACAAAGTATACTGAAATTTAAACACGAACGCAAAGTAATATAGGAGGCAACAGTGATTGAGAAACTGAGCAGAAGTGTTTTTATCATATTTTTATATGGTTCGGTAGAGGATGACGAGCTCTAAAAGAATATCTATATTAAAAATAAAATTTTCAAGACACTATTTGAGATATAATCTACAAGAAACTTTAAAATAACTTTGAAAACATTCACTTTTTATTTATAGAAGAAAAATGTTCGATTTTTCAATAAATTGAACGTTTTTGATTGTTAGTTTTGATGTATATAAGAAGTTTAAGAAAGCGTTCACATAATATATCGTTCTAAAGTGGCTGAGACTACGAGAGAACTACTATCAGAAGAAGCCTATTGAAGCATATTATAAAATTATGTGCTCTGATTAACTTCATTATGTATCCTATGAATTATATCTCGTTTTACTTGTCATAACATTACTAGAAAAAAGATATTCATTGTTTCTTTTAATTCTACTCTACTACAGCTGAGAACAATAGCTTATCGTGAACACATACAATTCAACAAAAAGTTACTTTTAGTACAATCAAATATTTCTAATTTAGTTGCATTTTAAACTTGAACATAAATAGAGAAGAAAACGACGTAGATCTCACTGAAAATGTTTGTACAACATTCTTGAGTTTTCTAGAGATTCTGAGTGGTTATTTTTGTGCGAAATTTTGATTATCATAATATTTAAGATTATCGTTTTAGATAGCAATATATTGATTATAATCTCCTCACCACTAGTCGATGAGTTATTTGTGAACTGAAGTAATGGTTAGATAATGGACGTTGCCAACATCCATTTTCAGAATACGAAGGATAGACGTTCATTAAATAATTTAAACTAATAAAATTCTATGAATGACTTGAATTAAAGCTTAGGCTCACATTCTTGCAATCTCTTACAATTTTCCCAACATTGGTTCTTTCTATATAATTGTGAATGTGAATACTTTAAACTTTTCTTTTCTAGTAGTGAAAATTTTCTTGATTGCTTCAGAATTAATAATTTAAGAAAAAAATTTTCTCAGAAATTTTCTAATTAATATATCTTTGCAGCGACTTAAGCATAATTTAAACAAATAATTGTTTTAAAAGGATATTTATTTTGCAAAAATAAGATTCTGTCCTAAAAAATAAGAGAGATATAAATGTAAGAATATCATTAGACATTTTTGTTTACATATAAAAATACAAAACAAAAAATAAATAGACAAATTGAACACTAATGAATTCCATGTGAAGAACTTGTTGAAAGAAGAGTTCATGAGATAGTGATACTCGCTTTATTTAACTTCTTCACACAACAAATCATCTCGTTCACACACACAAGTATATAAGACGAAAGAAATCTGTTTCATGCTTTGATTATCAAACATCAAACAATTGTTTTTTAGGATCAAAAAACTTACACATAACAAAGTTTCTTTATTGACTGTCTCTTATTACTTGAGTTAGAACTTCTTTTTTGACACATTATGTACACTTGTAAATACTCTTTGAAACAACTATTTATTTGTTGAAATTGTTCAAGTAGTTGCCAAGGTATATCGATAGGAGAATTTCTGAAAACTTTTTTCCACACTTTACTTGTGTCAAAACTAAATGGAATTGAATATAATATGAATAGCTTTTACATAAAAGTAAAAGATTCAACAATTCATGACTATCATTTGTCTCCAATGTTTTACGTAAGAATTTTATAATGAACTCGAATAATGTATATAGCATTCATCTTTCAAATGAATAAATATGATAGTCTACATGAGATATTCTATAGTAGAACATTGTCATTTTATCATACTAGCGAGAGCCTGTGCATACTGCGCGGATGCTTCTTTTCTGTAAAGTTTCACATCTGTCCTTTAGCATTGATTTGGTAATAGACAATCAACCAGTTCGCATTATATACATATATATAGACCTTATAATCCTACCCTTGTAGTCTTATACTCTTGTTCCCTAGACTGAAAGACTAGGGTCTGGAAACCGTAATTTACCAGTGTCTGTCTGTCTGTCTGTAACAAGGGCTTGGCACAAATGACCATTTCCACGGCACAAATGACAATTTCTATGGCACAAACAATCATTGTTATGGTACAAACGGCCATTTTTATGGCACAAACGACCATTGTTATGGCACAAACGGTCATTTTTATGGCACACTGCTGATATTGAAGTACTCAAGAGAAAACTTGAAAAATTGAAAATAAAACTTTATTTTTCATATTCACACAAATTATCATCTCTTGTACTTTCCAACATCAACAGGAAATCAAAAGCAATTGTTTATAAAATTCCATGTGAATGTGGTGCAGAATATATAGGAGAGACAAAAAGAGGACTTAATGAACGAATGCAAGAACATATTAAAAATATATAAAGAAAATGATGATCAATCTAAGTCGGAGATGGTTCAACATCACAGACAACAGAATGGTATATGTAAATTTAATACTAAAATAGCCACAATCATTGATTATGAAACTGATGAAAGAAAACGACTTATTAAAGAAACATTATGCTCAAATATCTTCAGCACGATTAACAGATATGTTAAACTTAATCAATTATGGTTACCAATTCTACACAAATATGGTGATACTATTCAAAAACATTAAATTTAAAGAACAACATGATCCAGCAATCATCAACAAAGGGAACAAGACGGTAATAGTGGCACGGACTAAGATAAAAAGCTAACCTTTCTTTGCTAGTATTACCGTCTTATCCGTGCCACTATTATATATGTTATCCAAATAGAAGAACGAAAGCGAACGACAACACATACATATATATATATATATAAAGAGAAAAGAGAAAAAAAAAGATATTTTACAAATTTTATGTAAACTATAATCATTCCTAATTCTGACGAAGGACACTTTGATGTACCGAAACGTCAAAAAATAAATAAATAAAGCACCATCATTCAAGGAAGAGGATTACTTTAAACTATGAGTTTTGAGCAAAGTTTACCTACTATTCAATGTAACGAATCGAATAAAAACATATTTGTGCTATGCAAGGACTCAACAAGGTTTAAATCATGTTATTATTACTCATATTCATAATGAATAATTAGATTTACTTGATTTGAACAGCATCTGTTCTGATTTATTTCTAAGAATCATAACATAAAAAACTAATTTGGTACTCAATAGTTTTACTTCTTCTTAGACTATTTTCTATTGGGTTTTTAAAGTAGCACTTATCTTTTACTTCGTTAGTTCCTGTTTTATTCTGAAATAATAAAACATTAGAATTATGACACTGAAACAGAATTAAAATCTAGTATGGGAAAGTTGAGCCTACCTTAGACTGAAACCGATCCGTCCCTTATGAATTACAAGATATGTTTCGTTTCTTTAATAAACAAATAAAACGTGATTGTATTGTACTTATTTATGTAAATACTGATTTTTATTATTGTGATAATACGAAAAATATGAGGAAAAGAAACGATAAAATTTCTCAACCGTAACCAAATATCATATATTAAGTGGATAAGGATGCACAAGCAAAAGGCAACGCTGCAATTTTTTTTTCCTTTCTGTTGTTTTGATATGCACTGATATATCTAACTGCAATAATCTAGTTTTGTTTATAATGTGAGACCACGTGTCCTATTCTTCTGTTCTATTATTTTGTGAAATAATATTCAACTCTACCTTTTTATTACTTATATCTTGTAAATATATTTTACATGGGAAGTACTAGGTAACCAATAATGAATGGCCGCACTTTGCATTTCATATTTTAATCACTAAATAGATTTGACTTAAAAAAACAAAATACACCATGAGATGCAGCGTGAAAAGTGCTACAGTGAGGGCCGAAAAAAGCCTGGACTTTTTTATTTTTACACAT